CCAAATAAAGATCGGGCATGTTGTGCAGGCCAAATGTGATTGGATGAGCCGCTCTGTCAGTTTGACCTCGGCAATATGCACCGGTTCTGTGCACCGATTCTGCTCGGTTGAACGAACTACGGACCCTGATTGTTTTTGTACTGGTTAGGCCAAATAATCTCTGCACATAAGAAGCAGTTGATAGTGAAAATACGACCGCGTTCGCAGATTGCAATATATTTCCGATTTACATGCACTGATTGTGTCATGAGTATTTGCGAACACACCGGAAAGTCAATCATAAAAGATGATCGAAGCGGGGATTTCTTTGATCTGAACAATAGACGCTTCATGGGGGGAATGAACGATACATGAAATCATATGCATTTATATACAGTGATTCAATTCATTGTCAGATGTCTACGGAGTAAGTGCAGTCAAAATATTCACATAGAGATTTCTCCCATAATTTTCATAAAAATCTTGTATATACAAACAGTGACCCGATGAACCACTTTGATCGCCCCACCCATCGATCCGGAATCTCAACAAGTTCTGTTCCAATTCTATTAATTACTTTGAATCATGGAAGCTCTGGTTCCATCTCGGTTGCATTCATAGGTAAGCAACAACGATGTTTCAACGCCTTTCTATTCAATGATTGCCCTGCCGAATAACACACACGAGTGTTGTAACTGGATTGTGTAACGACCACGACAACAATGGTGACAAACGATCGATGATCCAAGACGGGAATGCAACCCGAAACTTTCAGAGATGTCCAGTTCGTTATTTTCCGATTTCAATTCCGATCGGTTCGAGGTGAGTCGAGGGAATATCTTTACCAAGTTTAAACGATGATCAATTGTTCGAACAAACATTTGGCTAGAAGGTGCTCATTTGCCACTTTGATTACTGACAATCAAAGCCAGTCAATAGGAATTTTCTCTAGGTCATTTTGGCCCATTTGCGTAGAGTTGTTTCTAGTCATGATTCGACAGTTATGTCCAGCAAACACAAACGGGCATTTCCACATTACAAACCACACTTGTTGATGACTTCAGAAAGGGCCACAAGGACACTTTATGTTGAGATGTTTTCAGGGGCCTAGATGGCTTCACAAATTCGTTGACCCAACATGCGAGTATTTTTGCTTATTATTTAGAATGCAAAAGTATTGAATGAATGAATTGAATTGAATCGGTTGCTGGTTTATTTGAAACGACATTAAAATTGTTGTGCACTAGGACGTACCGTGTTACTCGAGAATCTGTTTCAGGGGATTACAGTTCGTACTCTTCATGCCAATCATTCTTTCACTGTGGTCAAAATAGATAATTTAGGTGTGAATAGAATATCGTTTGCACAAAAGCTGATTTCAGATTTTGACGAGATTCCGCTTAGGAATTCAGATGTGAATTAGTTCGTTGTGGTTTAGTTACGACTGTCCGAAACTGACTCGATTCCAGGCAAATTTATCCAGAAAGCCTAGTGGTTAACTGGATGGCACCAACGTTAGGCCATATTGCTAGCCGCTATCAGCAATTATAGTAAACTATCTATCATTCACACATGAGGATAACGTTTAGGAAGGAGATTTTTTCTGGCTTTTTCTAACAGATGCGAACAATTACGAAGTACGGTTAGTACGCTGCAAACAATCTGACTGTCTAAAAGTGACTTTCTATGGGT